AGTTTTCTCATAACTCAACATAAAATCGTTCTATATCATTGCTGCTTTAAGAGCTTCCGCTCGTGAAACGGGCTAAATAGTGCATTGAACTAATGGTACAATGAATAATATACACGTAAAAAAATTAAAAAAATATATATTTGTTGAAAATAATACTAAAAGTAATTTAATAAATTAATAAGTTATTAATTAATGTATAAATTAATAATTATTAATTTATCGATAAGTTAGTATTTCGTTAAATTAATAAAATTTTGATGGTCCCAACTGTATTATTTTATAGAGGTTTAACTGTAGTTGAAATTGTAAATAAGTGATCAAACCAAACCACATTTTTATAAATGTTGAAATGACGAAATTAGTATGGGAAAATTGCACTTTGCCCCCTCAAAAAAATCTTTTATTTGCACTTTTTCCCCTCAAAATATAAAATTGAGACTGTCCCCTTTCGAAATATACAACTCGTGCACTGCTGAATTAAAGATGGATATGTCATTTTACCTTTCCCGCTTGAAAATCCTCCTTTTAGAGTTACTTGGGGTTCCCAAATTAACAAAATTATGTTTCCAATATTATGAAATTCGTTTCCAAATTCGATAAAATTTGTTCTTTGTTTTTCATAATCTTCGCGGGATGAGGTCAAAAAAACGTTAAATGACATGTAAAGCCTTAAAAGATGAAATTACCCTTCCAATTTACTCAAATCCGACAAGAATTAGACCGAAAATACACATTTGAGGTAAAGTGCACCGAGTTGTATATTTTAAAGTGGGACAGTCTCGTTTTTGTATTTTGAGGGGGGAAAGTGCAAAAAAGATTCTTTTGAGGGGGCGAAGTACAATTTGCCCTATTAGTATTAAATTTGAAATCCAACCCCCCACCCCCCAGTAGAAAGTGGTCCCCAGTTTAACCGGACACGGACTCGAATCGAAAAATCAAATCCAGTTAATCACGCAATACTAAATTCCACAACCAAAAATGAGAGAGACAGAGCAGATGGGCGGACACGTCAAACCAAGACAAATATACAATTGACGAGACGTCCGTGACGTGGCCCTCTTGTAGGCCCACGTCACCATCACCATTTTCCCATAATCTCATTTCCCCCCCACCCCCACTATATATTCCAACCCCCCTCCATCTCTCTCCCCCACCTTCTTCATCTCTCTCATCTCTCTGTACCACACCATTTTCTTCACCGTACACTACATTTTCAGAATTGAATTATTATTTTTTATTTTTTAATTCCGGTTATGGAGGAAGTGAACTTTGTTGTTAAGAAACGAGTTCGTGACTCGCCGGAGGAGACCGAGTCCGATACAGACTCGCCGGAGGTGAAGAGGCTGAGGGAGAGTCTCTTAGATGGCCTGGACGACGATTCCGAGTTATGCACCTTGAATCACGATCTCGACTCGTTTATGAAGAGCTTCGAGGACGAGATTACTGTCGGCGCCGGAGTGCCGGAGAATGACGTGGTTGACCTGACGTCGGATTCCGGCGAGTCTCGGCCGGATCTGGGGTACTTGTTGGAGGCTTCCGATGACGAGCTTGGTATTCCTCCGCCGGCTGGGTTGGAGGATGAGTTCAGACCCGAGTTGGTCCGGGTTGAGTCCGACTCGTCCGAGTTCGGAGGCGAGTTCTGGGAAAATCCGGGTTATGATTCATTCGGGTACGGTGAAGCGGGTAACGATGACGTGGCGCTGGACGGGTTCTTTGACTATTATGATACGGGGTTTCGGGTCGGGTGATATTCCGAGGAGACCCGAATCGCTGCCGGCTCAATAGGGTGGTGGGGACTATTATGTTAGGTTTAGGGAAAGAATATTGTCAATATCACTTTATTTATTTATTTTAGACTTTTTAATAGTTTACTAATTAATAGTGAAAGTATGGCAAAGTAAAACACAAGTTTAGAAATGTTTATTGAATTATTTCATATATGAGTATCAATATTTAATTATGAATGATGTTGACTAATGAATTGAAGATAAAACAAGTACGAATAATTAGTTCCGGAATCAGAATAAATTAGCAGTATATTTTTTTCTTAGTGAAACATTAATTTCACAACCACTGACAATTTAATTTTGTCACATATAATATACAATACATGAAATAGAAATCAAATTTAATATCTATTTTCATACCAATTAAAAAAGAAAATGGTAAATTGCACCTACATTCCCCAATGTATCTTAAAATTTAAAATAACTTTAAGGTCCATCTGATATTGATAATAACAATCACACCCCTGAAACAATTAACGAATTGAAGCCTAGGCTTCATGTCCCCGGGAACGATACTCACTATACTTGTTACTCGTGCGGCCGTTAATAATACCATAGACGAAAATTTATAAATTTTATATAAAATATATAATAAGGATTTAAGAAATGTTAGAGTGTCATATCACACCCTAACTCTATATTAATTCCACCACTTACCTAAAATAATGGTCTGTTAGAACCCTAAAGGAACAACTTATTCAATCTATTATTTTGTTAGAATTTGTAATAATGTTTACGGAGGGTGATTGTAATTACTGATACTATAAGGATTTTGACTATTAAATAATGTTTCGGTTGCCCTTTGATGATTGATCACAAAATTAAAGTGTTGAGGTTTGGACTCCATCTGTTCTCTTTTATTATTGCTGATAATCAATTGTTATAAAAACCACGATAATATAAAGATAGACAAGGTGAGATGCGGACTAGGTTGGGCTATTCAGACGAATTTTAGGACCCCTTCTGATCGTGTCGCCTATGGGATATAGTCCAACCTATCTCTCTGTTGTAGTTTCACCGAAACTACACATTCGTGTGAACCTTACACCCGACATAGCAAGAGCTCAAAATATGCATATACAGTAGGAGTATGGAGAAAAAAATATTTTATCTTCTCTCGTACCCTTTGCAAAGCCACAAAACCATCTTTTTATCGTATAAAATAACTCCATCATAAAGACTGTATTTAATATATAATTCGAGAAATTTATAGTGTTTTATATATGAAAAAATATATATTTTATTAAAATACTCCTACACACACAAGGGTCCAATTTGCATTTCATAAATGCCTTTGAAGAATTCAGCCAACAAAATGGTGCGGAAGTTGTCATTCACACGCAAAACGGGGTGGGTGAAACGTTGATTGATTTCGAATTTCGACTTCTATTACCAAAATAATAATATATTAATAGTAATAGATTATGCGATGAAATAAGGGCTTGAGTGGGTGCGACAAGTAATATTTATTTCAATTATTATTTTTTTATGGACGTACCAAAGTTGTATTTCTAACTTATTTTAATAAGCAATCGTGTCGAATCCAATTTTAATCGAGTCGAACACGGATCGAGTTCGGATAGTTTGATTTTTCTTCTTGTAATTCAACTCGAGCCAGAACTTAACGTTTATTGTAAAGAAAATTCAATAGCCAAACATGGAGAAGAAAGAAGATATTCTCTTCTGTTTTTTTTATTATTAAAACTCACGTGAACACTAGGTACAAGTGGTGGTCTCTTATATAGACTTTGTGGTAATTAACAAGATAAAGATAAATCCCACAAAGTATAATTCTAGTTAAAGTGCTCTACGTAGGAATCTCTAATATTTTGGGTTTGTTGAACTACCTTACACATTTGGACTCTCGTTTGGATTATCATCTTGGTTTAAACTCATTGTCGTTGGAACTCCAATATCACCCAACTTCTCTCCGCTAATTGTGATTAGATCGTGAGAATATTCATCCTTATCTCTCCAATAGTGTTTAGTCTCCTTATTACTCCGTTCATTCTCACGATCATTCATAGTGACGGGCTGTGGTAGGTTTCTTACACCCTCCCGCAAACTTTGTCGGGGCTGGAGGCAAAGTTTGTTGCAGAAAAATTGTAGAGAGGCTTTTGACATTGGTTTTGTAAAAATGTCTGCAACTTGATTGTTAGTGGAGATATATTGGGTGACAAGCAGTCCACGTGCAACTCGTTCACGCACAAAATGATAATCCAACTCGATATGTTTGCTACGTGCATGGAATACAGGATTCACTGTCATATGAAGAGAACTAATGTTGTCACAATATAGGATCGGCAAAGATGGTATAGTAATGCGAAGATCTTTAAGAATGAAAGACAACCAAGTGAGTTCAGCCGTGGTGTTAGCCATTGCACGATATTCCGCTTATGTGCTCGATCGAGAAATTGTGTGTTGTTTTTTTGCACACCAAGAGATCAGGTTGCGTCCAAGAAATGTGCAATAACCAGTGGTGGATCGTCTTGTTGTAGGACAGCCTGCCCAATCTGCATCAGAAAAGGCAAAAAGATCAAGTGTAGTTTGGGAAGTGAAACCTAAGCCCATTTCAATTGTTCCTTTGACATATCGTAAAACACGTCGAACCATTTTTAAATGTGTTAGTGGTGGAGCATGCATGAACTGAGATAAATAATTGACGCTAAATGAAAGATCAGGGCGAGTGAGTGTAAGATACTGTAAAGCTCCAACAATTCCACGATAGTAACTTGGGTCTTCCAAGAGACTAGCATTGGAAGTTGATTTAGTTTTGGCCTCGAGAGGCGTACTAATCGGCTTACAGTCAACCATATTGGAGCGTTCAAGTATTGTCAATGCATAATGTGTCTGGGATAAATGAAGACCACTCGGTGTCGTAGTTATTTCCATTCCAAGAAAATGGTGAATGGGTCCCAAATCTTTCATTGCAAACTCACTACTGAGCAACTTTATAAAATTGGATATAAGCCTTGAGTTTGACCCGGTGAGCAGCATGTCGTCTACATAAAGAAGTAAAATTAGTGAGCCATAATCAGAGTGAAGTATAAACAATGAAGGATCAGCTAGACTACAGAAAAAACCATATTTAAGAAGAAAAATGCTAAAACGATCGAACCAAGCACGAGGTGCTTGTTTTAGCCCGTAAAGAGCTTTCTGAAGTTTGCAAACGTGTGTCGGATATTGGGGATCCCCCATTCCTGGTGGTTGTTGCATATAGATTTCTTCAGAAATCAAACCATGTAAGAACGCATTTTTTACGTCTAATTGGCGAATGGACCACTTGTGAACAAGGGCGATGGTAATTATCATGCGTATAGTTCCTGGTTTGATTACTGGAGAGAATGTTTCGGTATAGTCCACTCCATCAACTTGGTGATATCCCTTCGCAACTAAGCGGGCTTTGAGGCGATCAAGTGAACCGTCTGGTTTGAGTTTCGACTTAAACACCCATTTAGAGCCAATAATATGCATGTCTGGTGCGTGAGGAACCAATTTCCAAGTATCGTTTTTGCGTAGAGCGTCTAGCTCCTCTTCCATGGCAGCTCTCCAACCATAATGTGCTAATGCATTTTTAATATTATGAGGCTCACGAGGTACAGTAGGGCATCGGCTAATGGTTAAGGCATATTTTGGATTTGGTTTGACGACTCCGATCTTAGAACGAGTCACCATGGAGTGAACTGATGTTGGTCGAGGTTCAGAGCTATGAGTGGGAGAAGATTCAAGATTATGAGTGGGAGGCTGGACATTTTCGGTGACGGTCATTGGAGATAAATCTTGAGCTAGCTTGTGAAATTCGGGAGACTCATGGGACTCGAGAGACTCGTGTAATGAGGTATTGTCACATGAATCAGTATTAGGAAGGGCCTGGTGAAATTCTTCTACTAAATTCTCTTCAGTAGTTTGTGACTCCATCGTACAACGTTGTTCCGACGACTCAGTAGATGTCGGAGTTTGAGAGAGATTCTGCGAGCGGTAAGTGTCAATTGCCGGTAAGGGGCTTTGACATGGAGTTGTACAAGAGTTCAAAGTCGTACCTGTACAAAGAGATGTGTTAGTAGCTGGTAACCAAGAATCGAAAATATCAGTTACCTGTGGTTGATTTTCCACCAAACAAGATTTTTGTATTGGTTTATATGGAAAATCCGACTCATCAAATACCACGTGTCGAGAAATAAAGAATTTTTTACTTGGTGGATGGTAACACTTATAAGCCTTATGTTTCTCACTGTAACCTGTAAATACACATAAAAGTGTTTTTGGATCAAATTTGTGCTTTCGTGTATCCCAAGTGTAAGGAAAACATTTAGAACCAAATACTCTAAGAGCAGAATAATTTGGATGTGTGCCATGCAATATAAAATATGGGGTCTCGAATTTTATAGTGGATGATGGTAGACGATTCATAAGATAAACTGCCGTAGTGAAGGCTTCTACCCATAGAGATAAAGGTGCACCACAATGAAATAGCATAGTCATTCCTAATTCTCGGATTGTCCTATGACGCCTTTCAACTATGCCATTTTGTTGAGGGGTATATGGAGACGATACCTGATGAACTATACCTGTCGAAAGAAAATGGGTCGATAGTTTTGAATTGATGAACTCACCACCTCCATCTGAATGAAACTTTTTAATTTGCCGATTGAACTGTCTTGCAACATAATTTTCAAAAACTATATATGCATTAAAAAAATCAGATTTATTGCGCAAGGGAATAATCCAAGTATATTTAGAGAAATCGTCAACGAAACAAGCATAATACTTGAATTTTTCCAAGGACGAGATAGGAGCAGGGCCCCATAAATCACAATGAATCGTTTCAAAGATACTAGTACTTGAATGTTCTGAAGCAAAGAAGGGTAAACGACTAAGTTTTCCTAATTGACAACTATCACAGAGGTGTTGTGATTTTGTTGTACCGACGACATTAATAAGACTCTTATTTTTTAACATTTGTAAAGCGGAAAATTGAGGGTGGCCTAAGCGTTGATGCCAAACTTCTGCATTGCCTGATTTGAATCGATGCGAGAAATATAATTCGGCTGATGTTGGTAGGACATAGAGATCACCCTTCCGTCTCCCTTTTATCATTGTTTGACCTGTTTCTCGTTCCTTAACACAAAAATCCACGTTAGAAAATTCACAA